GGGGGAGGGAAGGGGAAGGGATCAGGCTCCTCACCATAACAGTGACAAAAGCCTCTAAATTGAAACAGTGGGTTTTTAATCATTGCAATTAAAAACTCATCATTTCAATTTAGGGACTGAATCCCCCTCACATGTATAAGTGGCCCCATAATGTAGTTGACTGCTTAACTGCAGGCATATAGAGTCCATGGGTTTTTATTCTTCTGGTTGGATTACTTCTTTTTACAGGAATTGTTTCAGCTGAACAGGGTGAAAACTAGAGGATTTCCTTTGTGAAAATGTTCCTCCGAGCTGGTGGGTTCTTGGCTTCATTTAAAAAGAGAAGCTGAACTTCTGTTACATTGATCTCTTCTTAAGGTTCAAGGTTCCCTCTATTTAGAAGTTGTGGTTGTGTCAATGAGGTAAATTTACTGTGGGCAACAATGGTACCCTCAGTTATGCTGCTCTACCACTCCTATACATATGCACTAATGAATAGAGATGGCCTGTCCTTAATGGTTATATAAGAGTTCTAGTACATGCCCACCACAAAAAAAGCCTTACTCTTGATTCATTTATGCCACCTGATCTGGTTTTCAGGAAGGTCAGGTATTTGAGTTATAGCAGTGATGAGAATGAAAGAACTGCTGCCTTAGATTCCCTGCAGCTTGATGAGAATATTTTAAGGAAGACATAAGGTGTCTCTTTATTTGGAACAACTCTGCACTTTTTCCTGTGGTCTCAAATCAATGGGATTCCTCGTGGTTACCCATATGCTTAAGTGTGTGCAAGATTGGGCCTTTATACTGTGGTAGAAAAATATGAACTAGAATAGTGGTGACTATGCAGTTTTTCAGATGGTGTTAATTTTGAATGTATATCAATTACGCATTTTCTTTATTTAATGTTTCTGATATGAATATGAACTAGAATATGTTTTTGCTCTAAGGACTGGAAAATATGGTGGCATTTTTTTACTCCATCCTTTGACCAGTATGAGGTTTTCACTGAAACCATGCAGAATAATAGGTGATAAATATAGAAGGAAAGAAGGTAGATATTTGTTGATTATTCAGGTCATTCTCATATGTTGCTATTCCTTCTATTCCTTTGAGTCTATAAAGTTGTCAATTTTCTCAAATGTGGATGGTTGCTTTTTTTATACTGGAGGTTCTTGCCTTAATGGGGTTTTTTTCCCCCTCTTTATATATGACTTTTATATAAATTCTTAGTGCATGCCTGCATGCACGTGTGTGTGTGTGTGTGTGTACACTACACACAGACATGTACGTGTTTATGTGTATACACACACACACACACATTTTATATGTGTATATGTATAAAATAACACCAAAAATCTACATGGGTCACTGTTTAATTATTTTGGGTAAAGGTGTGATGTCCAAAAATATACTTTACACATACTGATTAGGATCACCGAAACTTCCATTTCCCACTTAATTTAAATGCTTTTCCTCGGAAAGCCTTTTTGCCAATGCAACATCCTTGAACAGGACTCCTGCTGGTCAGTTTTCATGTCTTGCTGTGGCAGCTGTGAACATATGTACAACTGATTGTTAACGTGCAATATAAATCTGAACGGAGCATGCCCACTAATTGGTTTGAGAGCTGGATATAGACAATGCTGTCTTAGAGTAGCTTAAGTAGATAGGCCTAGTCATAGGGTTAATTCTGCTTGACAGCACATCAGCAGCATCTTGAAAATAATTACCCAACTTAAGCTTTCCCACAGCTGAATTGTGAGCTTCAAAGGCTTTTGCATTTGAAACTAGTATTAACCTATATCTGAAACATGATTTTCCCACAAAGTCTAATTTTTTCTCCCTCTTATTCAATATGCAGGTTACTGAGAAGATAATACAGCTTTTTTTTTTAGTGAAAAATCCGTAGTATACAACAGAAAATAATCATGCATATTAAACACGCCAACGTTTCTGCTAAGGCATCACAAGCTAAACTTGAGTTTGGCTCTATTTTCCTCTGTTTTAAAGAAAATGAAACCATTTATTTCCATTTTCAGAGCAAGTAAATTAAAGACACAAACCTCATAGGGTGTTGTCCAACTAAATACTGATTGTTGGATACAATCCATGTGCTTCAAAAATAGATTGAAACCATTCATGAATATATAGAATCCTATTAATGACTTTTACAAAGCTAAAATGAATGAGCACAATATGTATTTCAGAGCCTCAATTATGTGTTGTAATTTATAGTTATATAACTCAATCCTGTTTTTATATTTAAACCCCATTTTCTCTTTCCC